CAACATTGCCCCAGAGCACCAGGCTTATCTGATACCGTGCATGGGAGATGATTTATCTCCTGAAATGAGAAGATCTGGCTGGTGTTTCGGGATGTGACGGGTATCGAACGGAAAGTGAAGCCACGCACGGAAGAGGTGAGAAGATTATGTTTATTGTTTTTGGGAGGTCTGGGACTTTGATAATGTTTCTGGTGGACCAGGGGTCCCAGCCAATGTTCCCTCTAATTTTTCATGTGTCTGGGCAAACACACAAGCTACCTAAGCACACTGAGGACCACTGTGAGCAAAATCAGATGTGCACGCTGTGGTCACACACTAGTATCACACCTATTCAAAATCTGGGATCATAGCAAGTTAAATGGCTTATTAAAAGAATCAAATTCCAGCAGCAATTTCCATTCGTTTATTTTTAATATAAGTGATTTGGCCCACTTCAAATGAAAAAGGCAATAATTTTGTTGTTCATGAGATGTGTAGTATGTTATATGTGAGAGTCCTGTCTCAATCTACCCAGAGGGTTTACCATTAGGATTATGCTAAACCACACTGCAGCCTCTCCTCCAAGGGGAATATTGAACCAATCTAGCACTTGAGTATTACCCAGAGTAACCTTAGGTTAGTTCTGCTTAAGGCTGTGTTGAAGGTGACTCACCCAGATTGTTAACGACCTTCATTTGCAAGTCACACCCTTATCTCACCCCATGACTTGCCCAACCTAGCAGCCTGGGTTGGATTGTTGTCCATGGGGAAACTTGCATTCAAGGTCGCCCACCTTCGGTTGTGGAACTGCAATTGTTACTGATCTGGTATTTTTTTAAATCTAGGCATAAGATTCCAGGATGTTGTTTAATCAAAGCTGAGAAACCTTTAAAAATCTCCTCTTTTTTGTTAAAATTGAACCAAGCTTTCCAAATCCATGACTATGAAGTGTAGAAATGATAGTCCAGAGTTTTAATTTTTCAATTCAGTTAATTTATATAGTGCCAAATCACAACAAAGTTGTCTCAGGGCACTTTACAGATACATTCACATACATAAAAGCCAATTAGTAAAGTTCTCTATCTAAGGAATCCAGCAGACAAGTTGAATCTTGGCTTCGTTGCAGTCTCCCATCCTGAGCAAGCACAGTGGCAACAGTGGAAAGGAAAAACTTCCTTTTAAAAGGAAGAAACCTCCAGCAGAACCAGGCTCAGGACAAGTGGCCATCTGCTTTGACCGGCTGGTTGAGAGGACAGGAAGGAGAGACAGACAAACATAGAATGGTAGGTCCAGATATAGGTCCAGGTGTACCTGACAGACCAAAAAAATAAAACACATGTTAAGGATAGAAAAAATAATTACAAATACAAAACAGGTTGAGCAGAGTAAGTAAAGACAGTAGCAGAGTGAAACGTGTGGTCAGTTTGTCCTATAACAGTCTAAGCCTATAGCAGCATAACTAAGGGACAGCTCAGGAAACCCAAGCCGACCCCAACTATAGGATTTAGCAAAAAGAAAAGTCTTAAGCCTAGTTTTAAAACTGGATAATGTGTCAGCCTCTTGGACAGAGATTGGAAGTTGGTTCCACAAGAGAGGAGCCTGATAACTGAAGGATCTGCCTCCCATTCTGTTTTTGTAAATTCTAGGAACCACAAGTAAACCTGCAGCCTGAGAGCGAAGTTCTCTGTTAGGAAAACATGGAACAATAAGATCAGTAACATAAGATGGAGCTAGGTTGTTGAGAGCTTTGTAGGTTAGAAGAAGGATTTTGAATTCTATTCTGGACTTGACAGGGAGCCAATGGAGAGAAACTAAAACTGGAGAGATATGATCTCTCCTACTAACTCCAGTTAAGACTCTGGCAGCAACATTTTGGATCAACTGAAGATGTTTTAAAATAGTATTTGGACACCCAGATAATAAACCATTGCAATAGTCCAGTATAGACGTGACCAATACACATCCTCAGTTCTGGGTTACATTAGTACATGTACTGACACCGTCTCCACTATCAGAAATGTTAAAAGCTACCCAAACAGAAAACCTTGGCTGAATGCAGAGGTGCGTACCCTGCTGGAAGCCAGGAACAC